GCACACCAGTATCAGCCTTGGCAGGATAAATCTCCCCAGACTTATCCAATGGCTGTGAACATTTAAAACTAACACGAGTCTCTATAAGTGTCCAGTTTTAGGGTCTTACATGAATCAAACATGCACTTTATTTATTTCCACTAAATAACAAAAATACATCAAATCGGATTGAAGCTAAGGGCATACAAAACTGTCTAACAAAAATATGTATATGTATATTTATAAATGAAATTTGTACATATTTTCAATTAGTTCTGCTCCTAAAAAGGGCCATAAAGCTCAATAAAAGATGACTAGTATATTCATAAATTCCTTCAAACCTTGGGTGAGGAGATTGGCTAATGGAATGGCGGACACATTAGCGAAGCAAGGGGTGAATAGAAACTCATTGTATTGGGCTCAGTTATAATATGTAACTTTTTATTATGTTGGGAGAGGTAGCACCTTACTGCTCTCTAAGAGATGCTTGTATTGCCTACTTTTATTTTTTTTAAAGTAAAAGATCATTAAACTTCATTGAACACCATAATGATAGACATTGTTATAAGCATCCTAAAGGGAGGCACAAGATGCAGCCTCACTGTTAGAACAGAGCTAGTACAGAATTACAATTGCACCCAATACAACCGATCCCTAATTACCCCTTGCTTAGCTAATGAATCAGCCAATGCATTAACCTCCCTCCCCACCCACTGTATACTTAGATTCATCTGCTGCATTAACCACTGAAACTTCTTCATTTCATTTCTAACACCAAATCACTGAGTCCAGATCTCTTAGCGAACCTACCACCACCTTGGAGTCCCCTTCAATTACCAGGTTCTCCAAGTTCAAGTCTTTTGCAATCAGAACACCTTGTAAGACTGCAAACAGTTGAACCTTTAAAGGGTCTCCAATCACCACCCGTCCTGAATAAAGTGCTAGTATGATCCCTTCTTTATTTCTTATGACTCCTCCAATTCCCTTCTTTATTTCTTCTGTATTGCCTACTTTTATTGATTAATAAAGTTTTCTTTTACTTATAAAAAAATCTTTCAAACCCCTAAACCTGCCTAAGCCTGACTTTACCCAACCAAAGCCTGAACCTGGCCTGCATTGAGTGGGTTGGGCATGGATTGATAAACTCAAGCTTAACCTTAGGTTGGGCTAGGCCTGAGCCTGAGGTCTGCACTCTTAGGGTTGGGCCTGGATTGACCTTGAACTGGACCCAACCCGCCTGAGTTGCACTCCCCATGGCCAATAGAATAACGGGAGTTTTAGGCAAAATTATATTTCCACAGCAATGTGCCTTTGTGGATGGTCATCATTTCTCCGATGGATCTCTTATAGCAAATGAATGTATTGATTCAAGAACTAGATCTGCGGAATGAGGGATGATTTGCAAGCTGGACATGGAAAAATCTCATGACCATGTCCAGTGGAACTTCCTACAATATTTGTTAGGAAAGGGTTTGGCTTGAAATGGAGGGAGTGGATAAGGGCCTGTTTATCCTATGCTAGCTTCT